GTTAGTTATCTTATCCTTCCAGGAGATTTTTAACATTTTTCGGTACACCCACATCTCAAACTCTGCTTCAAACTCTTGCAAATTTTCACTTGCTCGTTGAACTCTACTTCTTAGTTGCGCCTTGTAGACTTGTTGTAGGTGGGCATCTCCGTAACGTTTGTCTAGTCGAGTAAACAAGGTCTGGTAACATTGTTCTTGACCCTTAGGAATCGATCTTAGGATATCTGCAGGTGTAAAGCAGCAGTCAAGGAAACAGCCTTTTCTTGTTGTGTCCAATGGTTGGCTGTCGCAATAGCTTCAAATTGTCTAAGGTATATGGACCAAGAGGACTTTTTTCTAAATTTCTATATTCCAAAAGCTATGGGCAGTCCATCACTGAAACACTCAACGGGCTAACAATAGCGTCCATTTCTAACACAATATAGATGAATAAGTCCCCTCTCACTCCTGAACAAACCATAAAATATGCTACGCTCCCGTACTTCCCACAAATCACGAACAAGCTTAACAAACTTTTCAAAAACTTACCTCTCAAAATAGTCTTTAAAAATATCAGAACCGTAGGAAAGTTATTTTCTAAGACAAAAACTCCATTGGCCCCTCTAGAACAAAACAACGTCGTCTATCAAGTACCCTGTACGGAGTGCTACATTGGCCAGACCACCCGCTCTCTTCAAGGTCGACTAACGTCCCACAAAAGCGACATTAAGATTTCAAAACCATCCTGTGCACTTGCACAATATGCCATTTCAACCAAACACAGTATCGACTTCACGAATACCAAAATACTGTGCAAACAAAATAATTATCATAAGCGTTCCATCTTTGAAATGTGTCAAATTATAAAACATCCATTGTCCCTAAATAAGAGAACCGACATCGACAACTTGAGCCCAGATATATCACTCTCTCATCATACATAGCAAATAAAAAAAACCACGTACATGACAGTAACGTCATTCCCATTCTTCTTTCCTTTCTTTGTTTTGTTTGTCTGTTTGTTTTTTAAAGTAAAAGAAAAAAAAATTAATTCTTTTTTAAAAATAGGTCTGTCCCCGTTCCGTTTACTAACTCCCTTAATAATTGTACCTCCCTGCTTTCCTAAGAAACATACAGGGTGGGAATCGTCAAACGGGCCATAGGAAACTCAATGGGAAATTCTAAATTGTTGAATTCCTGCTTTCCTAATTATTTTACACCAAAAGGCATGGGAAACTATTTGTAGAGGACTCAAATATGTATCGAAAACAACTGTTAAAATTGTTCTACGATTTAAACGTATTCCAAAATTTTGCAAATACATTTTTCAGGCCACCCCTAAAAGTCAGGCCAGACGCCGTGAAAAAATGTGTATTACGTGTTGCGTTTTCTCATATTGATGTTTCTGATATTTGACAATATTTAAATCAACTATATTATATTTATCTATGATTTAAATGGACAAAATTTTTATTTTGTGATTTATTGTTAAAAAAAAATTAAGTTGATTAAAAGATGTACTCAGTTGAGGAGAAAAGAGCAATAATAAAAATGTTTTATTCATTAAACATTTTTAAAACTATAACATTTGTTATAGTTTTATGTTTAGAAATTATCATAAATTATTTTTAGGAATAAAGATCACAGTAACAGTATATTGGAATTCACTGAATTGTTGTATAACTTAACTTAACATGGAATTAAATTTTAGTGTACCTATTAGAATATCTTAGGTTAAATAAAGATCCGGTAGTGACAGGAAAAGGTTCACGCTATTGCCTGAATATAACATTATGCAATTTTTCGTCAACTGAGTACATTACATTATATTGATCGATTTGTAAACAATATAATTTATTGTTCAAAAAGTAATATTTGTTGTTTAGTAGTAGTAATATTTAGTAAAATTCATTGTTTATAATTTAATCATAAAATAAAAAAAATTGACCATTCAAATTGTCAAACATCTGACATCAATATTATGATAAAACACACCCGTCATAATATATATATATATATATATATATATATATATATATATATATATATATATATATATTCTTGTACCTCGTGTGGCCTAACTTTTAGGGGTGGCCTGAAAAATGTATTATATTTTTGCAAAATTTTCATGTACATTTGATTCGTAGAACGGCTGTAACATTGGTTTTTAATTCAGATTTTAGTCCTCTACAAATAGTTTTTTATGACTTTTTTATGACAGACTAAACAGTGCACATAATAGACCAGATCTCATACTAGTTAATGAACTAAAGAGTCAAACAACATTAATTTATGTGGAGATACCCAACAACAATAATCTTCGTGTTAAACAGAACGAAAAAATCGGCAAGTATAGGGATCTGGAAATTCAAATACGGAGACAGTGGAGAATGGAAAGTATCCAGACAATACCTATTATTCTCTCTACTACTGGAGTCATTTCAAAGAACCTCCTAGAAAACATAAAAAAGCTAGGTCTGAATGAACATCTCTACAAGACCATGCAGAAACTACTCTACTCTCATCGTCCAGATGTGTACGAAAATTTTTGGAAGATACTCCAGCATATCAAGTCACCTAGGGCTCGATAACACAGAAAGAGTTCCACCAAAGCTCAATCCTTTTGATACCGTAGGTATCTGGGATGAGTCGAATTTCCCCTTAGGAGTGTTAGCCGTATGGCTAAATCTGGATAATACAACAATTAAAATTTACAACAATTACATAAATCGTCAATATCACAAAAGAAAACATAATAAAATATACAATGCATTGCAAAATTTTACTAAATTGCAAATTGCATAATAAAATATAATGCCGGAGACAGTAAGACTCGTCACACTAAGATACCCGCAGGTTTTCCTGAAATTGCTAAACAAACTGCTTGAACAACAGCAATTTCCAACAATATTGAAAGAAGCTAAGGTTGTGTTTATCCCGAAAGGTAGAGGTGAAGAGGAATAGGTGCGATTTCGGCCAATTTGCCTTTTTAGTTCGATAGCTAAATTGTACGAGCAGCTTGTAAAAGGCCGCCTTCAGCGAGAGCAGGAAGAAAAGCATGCGCTGAGCGACCGCCAATATGGTTATAGGGCCAAAACGTCCACCATAGATACCTTAATGCCTTAAACACGGCATCACGGAGTTCAGTACTAGATCCCATCCTGTGGAATGTCCTGTCCGACGGGGTGTTGAGGCTACAGATGCCAAGGGGATGCACTTTTGTAGTTTATACCGATGATCTCGCACTGGTTGCGAAGGCGAGTCAGAAAACGGACATGGTTAATGCGGCTAATACAGTCCTGTGTCGTATTAGTAGGTAGATCACAGAGAACGATCTACAGCTAGAGCCTCAGAAATCTGAGGTGCTAGTTCTCCGGGAACTAGCGGAGTCGGGAAAAATGTTCTCTTCGCTTTATAGTGGAAGGTGTGGAGATTGCACCGGTTAAATCGATTAAGTATGTGGAAATCCGGTGGTCGGACGGCCTAAGGTTCGGAGTACATATCCAAAAGACAGTAGAGAAGGCGAACCGAAACCTGGAGGCCTTGATATGGCTGATGCTAAACATTGGGTACCCAGGTAGCACCAAAAGTGTAAAAAGAGTACTAAATGGAGTTTTCCAGTCGGTGGTACCTACGCTGCCTTCGTGTGGTGTAGCGTACTGATCACTGCGAAATACGCTAATCTGATATAGACTTCGCAAAGCAAATACTCCTCACGGTATGTAGTGCATATAGGACGGTTTCAAATGAGGCTCTATATGTCATTGGAGCAGTGATACCGACCGTTTTGTTGTGCAAAGAGCGAGCGAGGGTGTATGCGAGGAGGATAGATGGAAATATAGATAAGAATCAGAGAGAAAGAACGATAGTGGAGTGGCAGAGATAATGGGCGAATGATAGCGGAAAGTTCAGGAAACTAGACTACTTCCTGACGCAGTTTCTGACTGGACATGGTAGTTTTGGCCTTCACAAATAGAATAGGCAAATCTGCCTTGGCAGACCTGTTTGTGAGGTACCGGACGCTCCCGACCACATTTTTAACTGCCAAAGATGGGCAAATGAGAGGGGAGATTTCGAGAAGCGAATGGGTTTCGGGCTGGATAAAAGAAGCATGATAAACATAATGTTAAGAGGAGAGAAATAATGGAGAGAAGTACACTGTCTGATTTCTGGGGTGATGATGAAAAAGGAGCAGGATTACAGATCTGAGATCTGAAATTTACGGTTATTATTATTTATTAGTTTATGTCCTAACGGCTGAAATATTTTCTTATTTACGGTAACAGGTATGGTTAATTATAAGTTATTAGTTTTTTATTTTAGTTGTTCATTGAGTGGCTCTGGAACGGTGGTTAAGGTTTAAGCCAGAACACGGTTAATCCGGCACTACCCTGGGGTCTTCTGGCCTAGTATCCTACTCGTGCGAGAGGTGCCAGGGAGTCTTGCTCCATGACTTTGAATGTCCAAAAAAGATTTCCCCTACCGTTGCCTGCCAGAATTCAATGGATACCTTCTTAGGCTCTTACTGGAATCTGGCAATACGGTAATTATAAAAAAAATAGTATCTACTTATATCGATCCACAAACTTTAATAGAAGATTATATTGTCTCCCCTTATAGTTCAAATTAAAATTCATCATCATCACGTAGCGCTACAACCCTGGGTGGGTCTTGACTGACTGTACAACTCTTTTCCAATTTGTTCGGTCTTCTATCAACCTAGGGTCAAATGGAATGTTCATTTTCCGGAGATCTGCTTGGATGTTATCTCTCCATCGCATTCTAGGACGTCCGAGTGGTCTTTTGCCTGTGGGAATCTCCTCCCATACCAGTTTTACAAGTCTTTCGTTACGCAGTCTGTTCACGTGGCCTGCCCATCTTAGTCGCTGTGATTTAATTTCTTGTACAATAAATTAAATTAAAATTTACCTTTAGAACAATTGACAACAAATTAAAATTGACCTTTAGAAATCGAAAATCTTGTCCAAAAAGTTTAACAAGAATTTTATTTTTTTTTCTAGGTTTGGTGGGGGTGGATATGGTGGTTCTGGGTACACTAGACCTGCTCCATTCTATAATCAAAGTTTCGTTCCGAGAACACGAGGTTACCAACCAAGAGGAAGGTAATATACATTTATTTCGTGTATTACATTAATTTCACAAAGAAAATTTTTAAATGATATATAAACAAAATATACCAAAACAGATTCTAAATTCACATAAACTTGCTACCACTAGCAGGTTAGAGTCCTTTTTTAAAAAATATAAATATATTTAAACTATTCTGGAAAAAACTTTTGATTATGAAGATTATATATTTTAACAGTACAATAACTGAAAGATTTCCGCGGTTAGTTCAATTAAACATAGAGCTAAGATTAATACTATTACAGGAATTAATATTAAACTTAACAGTCTTCCAGGTTGAACGTCTATTATCATTGCACCGAGCTTTCGACATCCTCTTGGATCTCTTCTTTAGGGCCTCCGAGGTCTCAGTCTCCCGAGCACCCAGACAGCATACTGTTACTTTCGACATGGAGACCTCTGGTAAAGAAAATATCGTCTGCTCCAACCGCTAATCAAAACCCTACTGTCTGAACTGTTCGCGCCATTCACCATCGACAGTATAAATGAACCGTCCTCTATTCCTAGTACTAGTAAAGCATTGGTTAGTTATCAGTGTAGTAGTGTCTGGGGGCTCGGGAGACTGAGTCACTGAGTATATATATATACATATATATATATATATATATATATATATATATATATATATATATATATATATATATATATATCAATGACATTAGAAGTATGTATATAACAAGTAATCCTAAAAAATTAATGTGTTTGGCGACCTCGTAGCGCTGAATAAACTCATGTATATGTCTAGGAATTGACGAAATGAGATGATCGATGTTTGCTTGTGGCACCTCGTTCCAAGGAACTTGATGTATTAACTGTGTCAGAGTCTGTGGAGGATGGTGCAAAGTGGACCTCACATCATATTCCATACATGTTCGATAGGATTTAAATCCGCAGCACATGGCGGCCACGGCAAAACAATATGGCCAGCTTCTTGTAGAAAGTCCATAGTTTGATGAGCAATATGGGGACGCACGTTGTCTTGCTAAAAAAGGATGTCTCGACGGCCGTCAATATAAGGCAGTAAAGTGTCTTCCAAACCATTACTCCAACTGTCCTGTGTATATGAATCTCAACAGCAAACCCGATATCACGTCGCTCTCCACGGTGGCGTCTTACTATCCTAAGACCATCATGCATTCCTAAACAGAATAGTGATTCATCGCTGAATACAACATTACGACATTCTGCCACCCAATGCTGCCGTTCTCTACACCAATTTAAAAGTTGATGACAGTGGTCCGCAGTCAAAGGAAGCACTAGTCGTGGGTGGAATGAAACCAGTCCAAAGGATCGAATACGACGGTAAAGTGTACTCAGGTCTACCTACTACTTCAAACCATTGGTCAGCAATTTGACGCGTAGGAGCAAAACGGTCTCGCAGAGCCAGTAAGCTAAAGCGCCTATCTTGACGCTCTGTGGTACGCCTTGTTTGACCAGTTGGTCTTCTTAGTGTTCCTCTATCATTTTTTGTCCACACACGACAGACACGCATAACCGTCATTGTCGTATAATTAACACGACGGCCAATTACGGGACACAACAAACCCATATCTCTATACGCAATAATTCTACCTCTGTCAAAATCGTTATGGAGGTAATTTTTGTGTCTTCGAACTCGAGGTATTTTCTTACACTGAATACAATTAGACTGAGGAATAATAACTAAATTAAAGATGAAACTTAATTTTTATAAAAAGTAGAAAAGATAAAATATTGGTATTGTTATCATAGCATGTTTTAAATATAGTGATTCTGTTATTATTCCTTTTGTGAATAATGTAACACTTCTAATGTCACCGAGTATATATATTTATGTATATATATATATATATATATATATATATATATATATATATATATATATATATATATATACATATATAATATAAAATTAATGTTTCTTGGGTTTAGGTTCAATAAAGATATGTTATATGTGGAACTAGATTGCGTTCGGAGAATGACGATAGCTGATGGAAATTTTATGTGAAGAGTCAGTGTTGTAGGTTTACATTTTTATTCCATTCGTAAAACAGGGAGGTAGTACGCCTAGATAATTTTTAAACGTGAAATAGACAGTTGTCGAATATTGACAAATTTAACTTTATTTCGGAAACCTTAACAGTTTTAGCGATACATTAGCAAAAAATTTTGCAAGCGGCGTCCCCTATTATCCCTTAAAAAATTTCCATCGACCTACCAAACAACCTGTATATATGAACTGAACACTGAACCGATAGCAATATAAATTTTGTGAAAGTGTATTTGTTGGTCTAATTTAGGAGATTGGATATTTTTCATCTCGATCACTGACCCATCGTTTTTTTAATTGTAAATTCAAAATGCTTTATACAACTTCACCTCTACAGTTTTAGTTCATTTGATCCATTTGTTAAACGTCATGTTATGATATTTTATAACCGCATATAAAATATAAAATGGCGTTTGAACAAATGTCAAAATGTAAGTTTGTGCATTAATTCAATACATTTTATTAATTATAAATTTAATGAAAGAATTGTAAATAAAATTAAATTTTAAAGTCTACTGATAATGTTCTTCTTCTTAGAGTGCCGTCTCCCTACGGAGGTTGGCAATCATAATGGCTATTTTTCTTTTAGACTTGCTGCTCTAAAGAAATCAATTGATCTGCATTGATAAAAATCTCGTAGATTCTTTAACCATAAGTTCTGCCTTCGGCCAACAGATCTTCCTTGAATCTTTCCGTGTATTATGAGCCTGAAAATTTCATATTTTGGTCCCCTCATCACGTGGCCTAGGTATTCCAGTTTTCTGGTTTGTATAGTAGTGATTAGTTCTGTTTCTTAACCAACCCTCTCCAGTACTTTTTTATTTGTAATTCTATCAGTCGATGATATTTTTAATACTCTGCGGTATAACCAGAGTTTTAAAGCCTCTATTCTTTAAGTTTATATTGAAATTTAAGTATTTTTTAACTTTATATTGAAAGTATATTACAGCGAATGCTAATCTGGCAATCTCTATTCGCCTGTTTATTTCTGCAGTATGATCATTGGTGTCATTGATCAAAGTTCCCAAGTACTGATATATTTTTACTTGTTCTATCGCGTTACCATTGATTGTCAATAGATGATGTATATTTTGTGATCTTTTTGGAATTGGCATGTACTTCGTTTTTTAGCGTTTATAGTAATTCCCATCTCAGCACTAGTCATACTCAAGCTTTCGATAAGATGTTGTAGATCCTCTATACTCGTTGCTATGATCACAGTGTCGTCTGCATATCGTAAGTTGTTAATTAATTTTCCGTTAACTGTGACTTTCGCTTCGATATTATTGAGTGTGTTTTGGAAAATTTCTTCAGAATATGTTATGAAGTTATTCAGAATATGAAGTTAAACAAAAGTGGCGATAAAACACATCCCTGTGTAACTCCTCTACATATCTTCATTTCTTCTGAGTGTTGCCCATAAATTTGAACTATGGAACTTTGGTTCCAATATAATGTTTGCACTATATTTATAATTTTATTGTCAATGCGCTTGTTCATAAGTATTGATATTAGTTTTTTATGTCCTACTTTATCGAAAGCTTTTTCGTAGTCAACGAAGCACAAGTGTAGATCAACGTTTACATCCCGACATCGCTGAATCAATATGTTGATGGCAAAGAGTCCTTCTCGAGTACCGATTCCATTTCGGAACCCGAACTGCGTCTCTCTAATATCCTCCTCTAGCCTTTCGTATATTCTCTGATGTCTTACTTTCAGCAGTACCTTTAAAGTATGACTCATGAGGCTCAGTGTTCGATAATCAGAGCACTCTTTTGCTGCTTGTTTTTTAGGGATGGTTATAATTGGTTCAGCCACTATTGTAGTATTGTTCCCGTATCGTATACCATGTTGAATAAATCTGCCAATACTTCCAAGTTATCCTCTTCCACTAGTTTTAACAGTTCTACTGGTATTTCATCTAATCCAGCTGCCTTATTGTCTTTAGACTTTTTGATAGTATATTTGATTTCATCTATCGTGATCTTCTATCTCTCTAAAGGATTTAAGTATTGTATTTTCTGCGTTTCGTCTTGTATTTCTTTCATCTTGGAAAAGTTCTCTAACGTACTCCTCCCATCGTCTTAATTTCTGTGGTAAATCTATTAGTAGTACTCCTTATTTATCTTTTATATGTCCTTGCTGTCTATTTCGACCCATTCTAGTCACTTCTCTTATTTTTTTGTGCATATTTCACATATCGTATTTTATTTCTAGTTCTTCTATCTCTTTACATTGTTTCATCAAATATATTTCCTTAGCTGTTTTGATTTTTTCCTTAATTATTCGTTGTATTTCTTTATGCTTCTGTAGCTCTTTTCCTTTACATTTCCTTCTTTCTTTCATCTATAGTAGTATTTCTTCTGTCATCTACTTTTTTTTAGCCTCTGACCTATGTTGTATCAACTTTCTTGAGCTGGTTTCAGTAATGTGTTTTTTATATTATACCACTTTTTATTTACATCCATAATGTGTTTGTTGTCAGTTAGTGTTTTTTGCATATTAACATTCACATTATTTTTTAATTCGTTTTTATTTCTTCGTGTTGTAGCATTCTTACTCTTCTGAGTTCAATTCTTTTTAATTTTATTTTCACGTCAGCCACTAACGGATTGTGGTCTGAGTTAACATCTGCTCCAGAATAAGTTTTAACTGAGGTTATTGAGTTTTTATATCTGCTATTTACGAGTATAAATTCTATTTAGTTTCTGGACAATGTGGTTTTTTATATGTGAAGGAGACGTTCATGTATATAGTCCTCTCTTAGGAAACTGAAACCAAGTATTGGCAATTACCTTATTCTTTTCTTGGCACAATTCTATGAGCCTTTCTCCTCTCTCATTTCTAGTTCCTAGTCCGAACTGTCCAACTATATTACCTACTCCAATGTTTGCATTAAAGTCTCTTAAAATGTAAGTAATATCTCTAGATTTTGTTAACTTGATT